CCCCGGAAGTGCGTGCCCGCAGCCCCGGCGAAGGTAAGCGGCGGCGGAGAGCGCGCCGGGGGCGCAGGGGTGCCGGGCATCCCCAGTGGGTCCCAGCTTCCCCGGAGCTCCCCCTGAGCTCCCCGTCTGCGGAGACACCCGGAGCGCTTCTGACCTGAAGCCGCTGCTTTGTTCCCGACCCCCTGCCCAGGTGTTGTAGGTTAGGTCCCCAGGAAACTCTGCTTCCCAGCGCTTTCTTTTTGCCTCCTCTTCCTCCTACTTTCTTGTTGCTTCCTTCGCCCACTTTTTTCTTTTATTTTTCTTTATTATTATTATTATTTTTTCTGGATCCAACAACTCTCAGCTCCCTGCCTCTGCAGCCTGGCTTTGGGGTGGGTGCTTTCCAAATCTCGGCGCCTCTCTGCGGGGGGCAGGGGCTGAGCTGGCCGGCGCGCGGCAGACACTGGTTTTGACCCCTGGCCTGCTGGGTGCGGACCTGCGTGAAATTTCCGTGCTTCACACTGAACTCATTTACCTGCCTCCATTCGGAGGCACCCAGCTCGCCGCGCGCTTTTGGAGACTTCTAGGACCCCGAAATCAGAGCTGATTTGGAAGTGAAAAGACTGTTGGCGCCCCCTAAAGCCTCAGTGGGACGCTCTGTTGGTGGAGAGGGGTGCATTCAGCTCGTTGCTGCTCTGTCTGAGGTTACCGAAAATTGGGTTGGGGGACGAGGGAGGAGGAGCACTCGATCAGAGTCGCACAGTGGGCGTGGAGATAATACGGAAGGTTCCCAAGCCTGGGAGGACCAACCACATGGTGCTAACCGTGCTGGCTTGCCATTTTGCTCTTATTAACAACTGCCTGAGTTCTCACATTAAGCTTATGAATAGGAACTTCTATTCCTATTTTGCAAACGGGCAAAATGAGAAGCAGAGAGGTTAAGTAATGCTTTTAGGGCCACACGGCTGGGAAGGGACCCAGCCAGGATTTGAGTACCAGCTGGTTTATACCACACATCCCACATCCCGCCCTACAGTGGGTTCCTCTGTCCAGTCATCAGGAACCTACCACCTCACGCTGGCTTACACCACAGGGGAACCAGACATTTTCCTTTTTGAGCCAGTACATCTTAATTCCATTCAGATCCAAAGGATTTACTTAGTACCTACTATCCTCCCAGTTCAGTGGCGAGCACTGAGATTTCACCTTTGAACCTCACTCTTCCATCTTCTTCTCCTCACCCAGTCTGTCATCAAATCAATAATTCTTCCCCAGAAGGCTGGAGTCGCTCTCCCTGAAAGGCAGTGAAGCTACATGGCTAAGAATTCTTCCCCAGAAGGCTGGAGTCGCTCTCCCTGATAATAGGCAGTGAAGCTACATGGCTAAAAGTCCTGGCCCTGGTGCTGGACCACTGGCATTTCAATCCTGCCTGAGGCCTTTCTGCGGCTGGATTTCCTCATCTAAAGCAGGGATAGGAGGATTTAAAGCAGTGATTCTCAACTGGGGTTTTGATTTTGCATCCCAAGTGACATCTGGCAATGTCTGGAAACATTTTTGACTGTCTTCATGTAAGTGGGGGAGGATGCTATTCATCTGGTGGGCAGAGGCCAGGGATGCTGCTAAATTTCCTATGATGCACAGGGCAGCATCCCCACCCACCACAACGAAGAACTAACAGCCCCGAATGTTAATAGTGTTGAGATTGAGAAACCCTGATATTATGTATCAGTTCACGAAGAGTGGTATTATTCCCAGCTCTCACCCTCTTATCTGCTCCAGTCCAGCCTCTGTCCCCAAATCTCCCTTCATTCCAGTGCCAGAATTCTGTTAAAACCCCAGCAGGCCATGCTACTACACCATCTTAATACTCTTGTCCCCAAGTGCTAGCAGAAGGGATGGGAATCTGCACCTGTTTTACAAATATCAAAGGTAGATCCTGTGCATATTAAGGTTTGACAATTGCTTTCTTACAGAATAAAATCTAACCTCTAACATTGGCACACATGGCTGTTCATGACTGGCCTCAACTTACCTTTTCCAGCCTCATTTTTATGCCGTTTCCTTTGTGTTCCTGCCATACCACCCCATTCACCATTCTTTTGGTATTCTGGGTCTTGACTTTTTGAAACACCCTTCCTCTTCCTCGGGTGGCAAATTCCTCATCCTTTTTGGAGGCTGAGCCCAAGTCCCCTTCTGAGTGGAACATTCTTCAGGTTCTGCAGATTGTTGCTCCCTGTACCCCAGACCCAGCCTCCCCTTTTTAAATATATCTCTCTTGTAGTGTGTACTGCACTGCATAAGGATCCCTAGTCCATCTCCCCACAGGTCTCTATGTACCTAGAACTTAGCAAGTGCCATGCTCACGGTGGTACTTAAACTTATGGGCTTTGGACTCAGGCTGCCTGCGTTCAGGTCCCAGCTCTGCCACTTATTAACTCTGTGACCTTGAGGAAGTTGACTAAGTCTCTCAAAGCCTTATTGGTAAAATAGGAAGAAAGAGTCAGCCTTCTCTGTAGACAAATGTGACTAATTAAAGGGATAATAATTGTTCATTTTAGTACTGAGTGCCCACTCTGTTCCAGGACATGGTTCAAGTTTAGCATTTTGTGTTTTTACTCATTTAATCCTTCTAATAACCCTTTAAAATTAGTAATGGTATTACCCTATTTTCCAGATGAAGAAATGGAGGCACAGAGTAGCTAAGCAGTTTGGACAAAGTCACACAGCTAATGAGCATTAGGGCAAGGCCATCTGGACTGCAGAACACACTCTCTTCACACTCTGCAGGTAAAGGGCTTAGCCCTGTGCTTTTCCTGCCTGTAGTAAGTGCCCAGTAAACGTGAGCCGAGATTCGTGTGCAGAGCTGAAGTCCATCGGGTTTTCCACCTGCACCACACTTGTAATTTAAGTCTGTGCCATTATTTTTACAACTCCTGTTCCTTTCCCCTCCTCTTTATCCTGCCCTTAGCCACAGAAAGACAGGACATTGGAGTCAGTCCCCTCTCACAGTGCCAGGTCAGCACCAGTGAACTTGAGGCTAAATGGAGCCTTAAGTGTGCCTGGTCAGGATTAGAACATCATTAACCCTCTACGGATGGGGTATGGAGTGAACACACCTGCCTGGAGGAGAGAGATGCAGACTTGGAGTCAAGAACTCCATCTTTGTTCTTTCCAAGCTTGTGCCCCATGCCCTGTGCACCTAGCACATCAATGAGATGAAATCAATGAGTAAACGTGGGATGGATGCCACCAGCTGGGTCTCCCACCTTATACTTGATCAGATGCAGAGGACATCTTCTCTCCAAGTGTTATGAGGAACACATCTATTAAAGGCAAACCTTGTTAAGAGAATTTAATGACCCATATGGAGTTTTGGAGAACCAGATTTGGAACCAGTCACTGATCCCCTGTGTGAGTTATATGCGACACCAGATACTAGTTTACAAATGATCACTTCACCGGCTTGGAATCTTTTATTTTCCTGAATGCAGCCTTGGCTTTGAAAGCTGAGCCCCCTCCTTTGCTGGTCCCTTGGCCACTTGCTTGGGAGGCCAGAATGCCTTGCACAAATACCTGCACATTTTTCTACTCTGGCTTCCTCCACAGCTGCTCCGCACAGCTGTGATTCCCCTGAATTTGCTTATTTTGGCAGGTTGTCTCCAAAACTTCAGTGAGATGAGGTTACCTGGTATGTGCAAGGCCTTACAGTTTTGTTAGGGGTCGCAGAAATAGTCCAGTAAGGCTGCTTTTAGGGTGGAGCGGGGTGAGAATTTCCCTGTCCGTCAACACATCAGAGACCCTTCAGAGCTCGTGTAGCACTGCCTTCCCCTTCAGATCCAGGCTTTTACTGCCCGCTAGCATTCTCCTGTCTCCTGGGTCACCAGCTGCCCGATCTGAGAAACAGTTTCCCCAGGGGTGCTATTGACTGGCAGAAAGGTCAGACCCAAGATCTTTGGGCATCATTTGTATTTTCACTGAGGTTTTTTATAGTCTGGTCCAGAAGATAAACTAGCTCAGGGGGGAATGTCAGGCCTGGTGCCAGGTTTTCAGACCTCTAATGTCATGCTTGTTGGCTGCTGTCTTGAGTAGCACCCCTTAATTGACCAGATTCATAATGAAGCTGGTTCCTGTTTGTGTGTCTGGTTCTAGGAGAGACACCTCACCCTGTTAGGTCTTCGTCTCTGTTCCTGTGAAATGTACCTTTGTTGTTTGACTCTATGTGAAATTCTGTTATGTGCTATAAGGAGTATTTAGTCTAGACCAGACTAGAGTGGTGAAGGGATCTTTAGGTACTAGGGTGGACTTGGAATATACGTGGGGTTAGTAGCTCTGTGCTGGATGCCAGAGACACAGACATGAAGAAGACATGGTCCTTATCATCAGGACCATGATGTGTGATAGACATGTAAACAGGTCATCATAGTAAGTTAAGTGGAATAAGAGAGATCCGAGCAGAGAACTGGGAGCTCAAAGGAACCAGCTACTGTCTCTGCCAGAGGAGTCAGGAGAGGCTTCCAGGGGAAGAGGATGCTTGAGCTGGGTCTAAATGGACAAGTAGGAGCTCGCTGGGTTTGGAGGAAACTGCACTTACACGGTGCCTAGCAAAGAAAGGGCCTGGTAGACACGGAGGTAATAGTGTGACTGGGGGACTGGAGATGGGCTGGGGGTGGCTTTGACTTTTCAGCAGTACAGGAACCTGTTCTTGTATGTTGGCAGACAATGGAGTGAGCATTTAGAGCTCAGGTGTGCCAAGGTTTTGAATGGTGGCTCTGCCTCCTGTCTCTGTTGGCCTGTTTCCTCCTGGGGCAATGGGACCAGAGCCCTGGGGAGGGACAGTAAGCAAAGAAACCACAGTCACAAAGCTTACTCAGAAGGCTGGGGACTGTTGTTTTTGTTTTCTTTTCAGAGCCCTGGCTGGTGAACTATGATGGCTCCTTCTACATCTGGAGTTTTGAACATTACCTTTAGAGCATCCAAAAGTCTGGGTGAATTATTAAGTAATTGACAAGTTTCTTGGGACTTAGAGGGAGGGAGGAAGAGAGAGAAAGAGAAAG